CCCCCCCCACCGCCTGTATTAATAGCAGATTAGAGCGAGGTGGCTCACAAAGGGGGGCTTTGTGGCCCGGCCTCTGTCAGCCCACACACCAGGCTGAGCCAGCCAGCGCTTCCTGGACTCATTCATCCTCCGGCCTTCCTTTGCATAGCGTCCGCTTTGAGCCCGAGCTGGTTCCCAGAGATCTGAGTGAGGTTACCTCCTCGTGAGGTTCCCCTGCTCAGGCGGATGTGGCGGCTTTGTTCCTGCAGCTCAGGGCGCCGGCGGCGGGCCAAAGTCAAGCGGGTCGAGCGTTTGTTTTTCCTGCCTCTGAAACGGGCTCAACCAGGAGGCTCTCCAGGGGCTGAATGGAACCCCATTCAGATTCAATCAGTTTCAGTAGAGCTCAACATGTTTTAACAACACAAACAGGAGGAAAAAAGGTCAAATTCAAAGTTCTCAGGTCGATTTTGAGCTCTAAACCCCCCCAAAATTGAACGTATTAACATTATTTGTCTCATAAATGCTCACAAAACCTATGGAGCTTAACATGCTTTAGAAACACAAGGAGGATGAAAAAAGGTCAAATTAAAAGCTCTAAGGTAGATTTTGAGGTCTTCCTCTAATTTTGAAATTGTTTTTGAAACAATCGAGTCTTCTTCAAACAGAAAAACGACTGACAAGAAGAAGTTAAATCTGTGTGTTTATTTTGTTTGAAAGCCTTTTTCTGTGGTTTCTGTCCTGTAGGAAGACACAGAGCCACAAATCCACGAGAGCCTGAGCATTGAAAACACTCTGTGGGCCAGCACAGTGGTCGCCTCTGGTGAGTGAACCAAGGATTCGGGTTTATTTCAAATAACGTGCCACAGATTTATTTAGAAATGTATAATAAACTAATCTTTTCTTTAACCATCAAAGAGTCTCTGAGCAGCAGCTTCCAGGGTTTCTCTCTCGTTTTCAGTGCTCGTAGCTGAGGGTTTTCAGAAGAATGTGTTTTTTCTTTGTTCAGCCTCTAAACTCTTAGTCATTCAGGCAGAAAAAATGCCCCTAACTCAAGGGATGAGCCAGTGTTGCGTCCAATCAGCAGAGCAGCAGTTTAAAGTGGATCAGAAGGATATATATTAGTTTAAAAAGTCTTCAGCCAACATTAATTTCTTTTTATTTTCCCTCAAAGCAACCAGACGTACTTTCAAAGGGTTTTTTAGTGAAACTGATCCAGGATTTCTGAGGCCTTTCAGAGTTTTTGTCGGGATATTTTCTACTTTTTCACTCATTTTTAGTCCAATTTTAATCTTTCTTGAGTCAGAAAAAGGCCCCTAACTCAAGGGCTGAGCCAGCACTGTGTCCAATCAGCAGAGCAGCAGTTTAATGTGGATCTTTAGGCTTTTTGTTAGCAGCAAACAAGCTGCTGGTTTCTCTGCAGGTTCTGGTTTCAGGGTCTGTGTTCAGGGTTCATTACGGCCTCTGCTCTCCCATTAAGCTCATTTAATATTAACGACTCATCAATCCTCAGTAATAAGGCCACTATAATGAATTGGCAAATAAAGAAGGTGAAGTATTGATTGGAGTTTATGAGCTTCCACATGAACTGCTGTCGGCTGTTATGAGGGCCACCCCCCCACTCCTCCCTGGCTCTGGCTTATTGGTCCCCCCCCCCCTTCAGCTCATCTTCCGGCCCAGTGTGCATGCCGGGGGGGTTAATGCGTTAATGAGTGGCATCACTTTGCTTGTCTTGTGTTTGGCAGGAACTGTGATCGGGGTGGTGATCTACACGGGAAAGGAGACCCGCAGCGTCCTGAACACGTCCTACGCCAAGAACAAGGTGATGCAGCCAGTCAGCTTCTCTGCTCCCAGCACAAAAAGCACAAAAAGCAGAAGCTTCTTCAGCTTCTCTGTGCACACACAAAGTGTTTCAGACACGGCTGTAAAAGCCCGATTGATGCCAGATGTGCTCGGAGGTTCATCATCAGACTTAAATCAGACTTAAAACGGAAAAAAACTGCAGGTTTGAAATCCCGCTAATGACAGAAACCTGAAGATAAAAAGAATCAGAATCTCACATGACGTCATAAACCTCACAAACAGGAGGTCGTTTTCCATCAATTTTGTGTCGGCACAACACTTAAATCGATTAAAACCCAGATCTCCCAGCTTTGTAGCAGCCCCTGAATGCACCGTGTGGCTGAAACTCTGCTGGGCCTGAGCTCATAAACTCCTGTCAGAGCTGAAGGTCAGGACGGGGAGCTAATTAGCCAAAAAGCAGTGTTTAAATGACATTTTCAGCAGAAAGTTGATCTCACTGAATCCCTGTTGAGCCCTTTGTCCCCGAAGTGAGGCAGGAAGTCAGCAGGGAGGGCTGAGGGGCGGGCGGGGGTGGTGGGGGGGTGCGTTTAATGACTTTAGCGTCACCTGTGAATCTCCCAGGTTTTGACAGCGGTGTCTTTTCTAAGTGCGCTGATGCGGCCGCCGCTTTTGTGCTCGACGGCTGAGAAGAATTCAATATTTCAAGGAGGTGATGTCAGAAGTGCCGATATGGGGGGGGTGAGGGGGGGGGTTGTCGTCGATACGTCGAGGCTTCAATAATCCACTCTGACACGTCGGAGGACGAAGCCGATCGATCCTACAGGACTCTGATCCACTCTGCTGAAACTCCCAATAAAAGCAGAGCGCCGTCACTCTGCTGCTGTTTTTCAGCTCGGACACACACACGCACACACACACACAGATGGAGCGTGAAAACGCCAACACGCACGCCAAGGGCATGTTAAAACACGCTAAGCGCAAGCCAATCGAACGCTAAGTTCACACCAAACACATGCCAACACACATGCAAGGCACACGCACGCCAAGCCCATGCTAAACACATGCCAAGCACACGCTATACAATCACTAATCGCACGCCAAGCATACGTCAAAGGCACATTAAGCGTACGCCAAGCAGAGGCTAAATGCACACTAAAAACATGCCAAAGTCATGCTATGAACATGCCAAGTACACGCCATACGCACGCGAAGTGCATTCTAAGCGCACGCCAACAAGCACGCAGAGCGCATGTTAAACACACGCTAAGAACATGGCAAAGGCATGTTAAGAACATGGTAACTACACGCATACGCACTTGAAGCGCATTCTAAACACGCGCTAAGCGCACGCCAACACGCATGCGGTGCGCATGCTAAACACACGCTAAGAACATGCCAAAGGCATGCTAAGCGTGCCGCCATCAGGCCGTCGTCCTTTTGCCTCCTTGTCTGGTTTTTGGGTTTGTATTTCTAGCGTCTAGGTGTTGTTTTGGTTTTTCCCCCCTGGTTTTCCCCCCTAATGAACGCATAATGTTCCTGGCTTCCTGCTCCCTCGTCTCCCTCCTGGCCTGCTTGTTGAGTCCTAACAAACGGGCCCAGAGGAGCTGGGCCCGGCTGATCTGTGCCGTGGCCTCCATGCATATTCATGGCCGGCGGTCCCAGGGCTGCGATTGCTCATCGGGTTTCACACACATGTTGAGACGGGGCCTGGCAGGCAGATCCAATCCCTCCTTTCACTTCTAATGGCTCCGACCTGAATGGAGGCAAATATGCACTTTTATTCTCTGATAGCATCTTTAGCTGGAGGTAATTGAGTCCTTTTTGCCCCCTTGACTGAATGAATAATGACTTCATCTGATCCCCGGCGAGGCCCGGAGAACCCGGCCCGCCCCATTGTCTTGCAGAAGGGGATCCACTGTGTCCTCCCTCTTAATTTTTGTTCATTTTAATCCACCCAAACCTGCTATTTTTCTCAATTGCTCAAGCATGAAGCATGTGGGGAGGCGTCCCGGCTCGTCCGTCCTCTGGGGGCTCGGCCAGTGGAGGAATCCTGCTGCTCCGCTCGCTGCTCGTTATACCCCCCCCCCCACGCCTGCCCTGCCTTTCAGAGCAGCTCCTTTCATTCGAGGCAGCAGAGACGTTGTGTTGTGCTGTTTGTCGGCCCCCAGTCGGCTGCCAGAGAGGGGAAGGGCGCTTCTTTCTTTGACATCTTTTTCCCACATGCTCCATTGGCTGGGAGATGCTCTCCACTCATAAAAGACACTTCTGACCCCTCCTTTTCTGCTCGGGCCCATCTCAATATGGGAACTTTCTCTATTTCTGAGGCCCCTTTGACCTCCCCGCTGCACTGCGGAGCAACAGGATGATGCAGCTCGCTGTTTAACCACAGAACACATGAGAAAAGCCGGCAGCTACGCTTCCACTCTGGTGGCTTTTTGCCTAGAGAAGCAGGCTGTGAGATCACAGCAGCTGACAGTAAACACAAATACACATCGAGGCCCCTAAAGGTGCATGAACACAGGCTTATTTAGCATCCAGGCTGAAGGTCTGACTGAGCTAAACCCCCCAAAAAATATTTTTATGACAACCAATTACTCTTCAAACAGGAAACCATAAAAACTGAAAAGTTTCTCTGCTTCAGGTTCATTAAACGAGCAGCAGAAAAAGTCGCTAGTTTTAGATCTTTTACATCTAGATTCAGGGTTTTATTAAATTTTCTTGTCTTTTCATTACAGTTTTTGGCCATTTGAACCCCTTTTTTGTTTGTTCTTTGGCCTTTTTGGTCTTTTTTTAGGTTTTAGATAGGTTACATCTATATTCAGGGTTTCCTTCAGGTTCTGACCCACTGTGGGGACTCTGGCAGGTTTCTGTGACTCAATCTTAGCTGCTGGATGGATGCTAACAGAGTTGGCTGGACTTAACCCTCATCCATCCTGATGTCTTTTCCTCAGGTTGGCCTGTTGGACCTGGAGCTGAACCGCCTCACCAAAGCCCTGTTTCTGGCCCAGGTGGTGCTGTCGGTCGTCATGGTTGCGCTGCAGGGCTTCGTGGGCCCTTGGTTTCGCAACCTGTTCCGATTCGTGGTACTCTTCTCCTACATCATCCCCATCAGGTGAGTGGAGGGTTTGGGCCGGGGCCGGGCAGCAGAACAGGGGCTGAAGCTGTGTTTGCCTGCAGCCTGCGTGTCAACCTGGACATGGGGAAGTCGGCCTACGCCTGGATGATCACCAAGGACGAGAACATCCCGGGAACGGTCGTCAGAACCAGCACCATCCCAGAGGAACTGGGCCGGCTCGTTTATCTGCTCACAGACAAGACGGGTAGGTACTCGAAAAGCTTCTTGTAGCTTTTTAAGCTGATCCTTTCACTAGATTTTTAGATTAAAGAGTCAACAACAATGTCCATCACACATTATTCAGCCCTCAGGGGAAGTCAGGAGACTAAAACATCCTCATATTTTCTGTTTTATTTCTCAATGTTACAATAAATGCTAAAAAGTCCTTCTTTTTTCCTGTTCATTCAGAGCGTGTTAGCATCCAACTTTGTGCCAAAGGTTGAATTTACTTTACAAACAGGATCTCTTTACTCACACCCAAGTGATAAAATCCTGTGAAGCCTCTAATTTGTTCCTCTGTCTAAAGCCGCTGATTCGGAAAGCAATAGATCGGCTTTAGCCTTTTTATTAGCCTGTTTATCGGAGTTGGTAGTTAAAGCACATGGAAACAATCCATCCATTTAATGTTTCTGGAAGTTAGATGCCCTCTAATCGGCTTCAGGCTCCATCAGCACTCATTCTGCCCCTGAGCATCCATTAAACGAGGCCACTGCCCTCATTTATAACCTTTTTTTTTAAGTATTCCTGTTGGTGGGAGATGGACAGATTAGGCCAGTGTGGGGGGGGGGTTCGGTTTGACCTCTCAGGACAAACTCTGAGTTTGCTTTCTACTGCAGAGTTTCAACAAATTTAGCTCTATTTTCCTCCATTTGTTTGCTCCCCATTAGACCTGGAAACGGGTCAGTTCCATCTTTTTGCGCAAATATGTGGAGACATTTGTTGCTTAATGATTTGTAGCCATTGTTTGAGTCATAATTCCACTTTGAAATCACCAGCTATCCTTTTCAAAAGCCGCATTTAGCTGCAGACTAACACCTGAATGGCCCTTTTGAACGCAGGCACGCTGACTCAGAACGAGATGATATTCAAGCGGCTGCACCTGGGAACAGTGTCCTATGGCACAGACACCATGGACGACATCCAGAGCCACATCGTGCAGTCCTACTCACAGGTAAAGACCAGCTTATAGTCATTGGAGGCTTTCATTTACGACCTCTTAAGGAATCACTTGTGATGAATGAATGGCCCAGTTTGACTTTTTAACTATTTATTTAGTCCGAAAACATGAAATGAATACAAACGTGAACGTTTTCCACAGATTTTAACCCCCAGACTCACAAACGTGTCACTTCCTGCATCAGGAAAAACGGGCCGTTTTCAATCTGCATAATAAAACAAACTCATTTGTACCATATTTCCCTTCCTGCCCGCCCCCCCTCCTCCTTTTAATCAGTTTCTATGTTCCAGGAAGTGCAGCCGCTTTGTTCATTCATCACAGATCGCCCCTGAGAGGCTCGTGCTGAGGGGGGGGGGGGGCTCTGCTCGCTGGGTGGCTCGGCTCCGGCCCAGCCTGGACAGAATGATACTGTTTTCCAAACAGCTGCTGGGAGCTGGGGCCATCTGCCCACAGCCTCGTGTGTCGTCCCTGCTCGTGGACAGAGTCTCCGAGCAGAAAGCGGAAGACCCAGAGCGGCTCGGCGGTCCGGTCATGTGACCGGAGTCTTTTGAATTAGCTCAGAAACACTCATGCAGACCTGAGCCAAGCTGCAGCCAAACTTGCTCAGAGTGTTTCTACCCCTCTGAGCTGCAGCCCGACAGATGTGCTTCTGAACAGCTGTTTCCTGCAGCTGTGGGCGGCCATGTTGGATCCTGAGGACAGCTGAGGGTCCTCTGATGCTAAGAGTTGAAGTTCACAGCAGAAACTGAGTTTCTCTGCGAGTTTGAGGCATAACAAGTCTGTTTTTCTGCTTTAAACCAAATTTCTGTCTGAGTTTGAGGCCATTTTTCTGCCTCAAATTGAGTTTCTCAGCCAGTTTCAGCCTAAGAAAGTCTATTTTTCTGCTTTAAACTGAGTTTCCCTGTGAGTTTGAGACAGAATGAGGCAGTTTGTCTGCTTTGAACTGAGTTTTTGAGCCAAAACAAGGCAGTTTTCTGTGCCTCAGACTAAGTTTCGCAGCAGCTTCTCTCAGATCTCTCTGGTGACTTTCCTCCTTGGTGTTGTGCTAAAACACCCCAAAACTCAGCAGACTTCAGCTTTTACTCTCTGGTGCTTCCAGGTGGCCCCTCAGCCCTCTGGCGAGGGGGCAGCTGGAGTCAACCCCCCTCAGAAGGCCCAAAGTTCAGGACCGAAGGTCCGGAAGAGCGTCAGCAGCCGCATCCATGAGGCGGTGAAGGCCATCGCTCTGTGCCACAACGTCACGCCGGTGTACGAGCCGCACGCCGGCGAGGCCGAGTCCGCCGAGGCCGACCAGGACTTCAGCGACGAGAACCGCACCTACCAGGCCTCCAGTCCAGACGAGGTACACAACATCCACAACAATCAGGCACTAATCAAAGCTGCTCGTTTTGGGTTTAGCCTAGAAGTCACATGACTGGGATCCACCAATCAGACAGGTCATATACTAAAAAAGGAGGAAACGGTCGGAGCTAGAAGAGGCTGAACGTCCCTGTTTTCCTTCATTTAACCCCCTGTAGTCTCAGATCCTGCCTCTGAGTCCTGTTTTCCTCTTGTTTGGGCTGAAAAGCAGCTGGATGCTTCCTGCTCTGCTGGTTAAACTCTGACAGAAACCTGTCTGTGATCACACATCAACATCTGAGCCTCTGATCCAAACTAGAGTCCAGAGAACTCAGAGTTCTGCTGGTTTGCTCCAGAATGAGGCTTCATTTCCTAGAAATCAGGTCTGTTCCAGCATCCAGAAATGAAAGAAGCTTTGAGCTGATGTGCTGAAACCAGTCGACTAAAAGCTGGAACTCAGGTTTTTCAAATCTGAGTATTAACAAGTATCCTGAGACTCTTTGAAAGCGGTCAGAAAACGCAGGCTCTGAGGTTGTTTTTTCTGTCAGGGCAGAGCTGAATTGTGGTTTAAGGCCTCAGAGTGAATGGGACTGAAGGTTTGAGCTGTGAGGCGATCCTGCTTATCTGGACTGGTTCTGGTGCCGTCTCCCCTCAGGTGGCCCTGGTCCGGTGGACGGAGAGCGTGGGCCTGACCCTGGTCAACAGAGACCTGGCCTCCCTGCAGCTGAGGACTCCCTCTGGACAGATCCTGTCCTTCCACATCCTGCAGATCTTCCCCTTCACCTCTGAGAGCAAAAGGATGGGCATCATCGTGCGGGTGAGACAACATACTTCAAAGTCATAGTCAAAATATAAAAATAAGATAAAAATAAATAAGCTAAGTTAGTTTAAAGTTCAGGTAGTGAAAGTTAGAGTAAGTTAGGGTATGTCCAGGATCTCAGTCTCCACCTCTACCTCCATTCAGTCTCTGCGGTAAAGTGCCAATAAAGCCCCTTTTTATTGATTATTTCTTTATAATTTATTTATTTTTACATTTTACATTACACCTAACACAGTGACAGGAGTCAGATTTGCTGGCGGCTTTTCTCAGGTTTGCTCAGCTCGGTCTTGTTTTGGTTGCAGGAGGAGTCGACGGGGGAAATCACCTTCTACATGAAGGGCGCCGATGTCGCCATGGCGACCATCGTCCAGTACAACGACTGGCTGGAGGAGGAGGTAAAAACTTAGCTTCAGAGCTCATTCTGTCCTCAGCTTCAGGCCAGCATGAACTCCTGGAACTAACAGATTTGAAACAACAGCCGGAAAACATAAAAGATCCAACAATCGGGAACTAAAAGATTTGAGCCAACAGCCGTGAACTAAAAGAACCAGAAGCTGGAAACTAAACTAAGAGACGGGAACCAACAGCTGGGAACAACCCCGCCAGACCAAACTAAGCTCTGACTGTATTGGCCTTTAACCCCCCCCCTTGTCTCCTGACCTGAACCAGCCTGAAGACCCTAAATGCTGCATTTCCCCCTGAAATTAGCCACTTTAGTGCAGCTTTCACCCCCGTTAAAGGCTGGATTTCCCTCTCTTTTCGGGGACCAGCAGCTCGTCTGGAAGCCGCTCGCCGGCTGAAGGTCCTGAGTACATATGTTCATAATCATATTGGCATTATTGAGTCATTTGGCACCGGGGGGCAGCTTTTGATTTAATTAGTGACCTAGATAAAGTCGGAGTAATTACAGTATGTCATAATCCTGAACAATGGTGCTAATGATGTCCTGTTGGCTGTAATATCCTGCTGCCTGATCAGCTGGCAGCTCTGTCTCTGCCCGTCAATAACCAATCAGCAGGACCGATCAGCTCTATCGGTGTTTCATATGAAAAATAAACCGCCGTCCATCCCTTTTGTTTTACTGTCCTCACCAGAGGGGATGTTTTCTCTATCGATCCGCCTCTTGTTTTTGGCGTATTGACGCCGCTGTGCACAGTGTGTTCAGGGGGCAGCTGCTGTCATCTGCCCCTTTTGACCTGGAGATTCAGCCAAGACCCGTAGTTCATAATAAAGGTGTTTCTCTGCTCTCTTTCCTGCTGCCTCCAGTGTGGGAATATGGCCCGAGAGGGCCTGAGGACTCTGGTGGTGGCCAAAAAGTCCCTGTCCGAGGAGCAGTACCAGGACTTTGAGGTATTAAACCACTTATTCATTCATTTATTACCTTTTAAATCTTCTCTGTGGCCACTTGGGATCAATAACTTAGCATAGCAATAATTCTGGACTGCGAACATAAAGTTTTAAGGTCACACGTCGTTTTGTGATCCTTGTTGGACAGAAATTAGACATTTGATGGATAAAACTGAACTATGAGCCAGTTTTGCCCCCCTCAACATTAGTTTCCCTCTTCAATTCATGTCAGCTCCTTTTATTTTCCCCTTAAATTGAGAATTTGCTTCGCAGCCAGCCGTTTCAACCAGGAAAAACAGCTAAAACATAAACGATGCTAAACTTAACGAAGTACATCAGGAGTCACTAATAACTGTATAAAACTCCTGGTTGCTTCCATCTATTGCCTCAAATCCTGGGAAGCCTAAATCTCTGCTTGGGGAAGGCGCTAAAGGGTGATCTGCACAGTGTAGAACGAGTAGTTCCACATGTAGAAGTATCGTTAAGAGGAGGTCGGCTGTCCCAGTTCTGTTTGCCTCAATAATAATTGTGTTTAGGCAGTTTTTGTAATGAACACCTAGCTTCCAAAACCATTAAAAAAGTCTGAACAGATCCATTTAATGACCTAAAAAAAGAGGCTAATGCTCCTTCCGTTAACATTCAAAGTGTTTAGCTGCCTCAGAAAAGACAATTTTTGCTGACATTTCTACAGATTTGGTCCGTGTTCAAGCTGTGGATCAGATGATTTGGCTTAAGAGGCATGAAATCTGTGCAGTCTGACGTCTTCTGCAGCCTTTCAAAGCATCATTATTCTCATTTTCCTCCTCCTTCGATGTGCAGAGTCGCTACAACCAGGCCAAGCTGAGCATCCACGACCGGGGGCTGAAGGTGGCGGCGGTGGTGGAGAGCCTGGAGAGGGAGATGGAGCTGCTGTGTCTGACCGGCGTGGAGGACCAGCTGCAGGCAGACGTCCGGCCCACGCTGGAGCTGCTGAGGAACGCCGGCATCAAGGTGGCTGCAAACTCACAGAATCACTGCCGTTTCTTGAGGGAAAAAGCAGAAATCCAAAGTTTAAATTGGAGATATTCTGTTTTATTTTTATTTCTTTTAGTAATTTATCTGCTTCCCAAATAAATCAGTGGGATTATTTCAGCTTCTTGTGTAAAAACTAACATTTTTCCATAATTTTAGTGTGAAATCAGCTACTATTTTCAGAGGATTCTAACCCTAACTGAGCAATGAGAAACTTTAAGCCTCATTCTGTCCTCTCCGGTTAAACTGAGTCTATTTTTGCTCTGAAATAAACCTGTTTCCACCTCCTGAACACATGTTTCAACTTCTATCTACTGGAACAGAGCTCATTTAGTGGAAATCAGAGCTGGTTCAGGAGGCAGAAAGCAATTTAAAGTTAAATCTTTAGATATTCTGATTTATTTCTTATTTCTTTGTTTCTTTTAGCGATTCATGCGATTCCCAGATCAATTAGCATCAATTTAATTTAATATGTGTCTGTAACCAGGAGCCGACACCTGCTGATCCTCAGAGGTCTTCATTTGTTTTCATTCCGTTTTCTTCTCAGATCTGGATGCTGACCGGTGACAAACTGGAGACGGCCACCTGCATCGCCAAGAGCTCCCACTTGGTTTCCAGGAGCCAGGACATCCACGTCTTCAGACCGGTGCGCCGCCCCGCCCCCGCCGCCGCCCCCAGAGGCTGAGCAGGCCTTGGCCTTCCTGTGGATAATCGTGTTTTGTGGCTCTCGAGCAGGTCTCAAACCGAGGAGAGGCCCATCTTGAGCTCAACGCCTTCAGGAGGAAGCACGACTGCGCCCTGGTCATCTCTGGAGACTCCTTAGAGGTACAGCACAACCTCCACCTACAATTGCCTAAACATAACTTTCCAACATCTAAAGTGAAATTTGATCAAATATTTGACTTGACACCTGAATAGTAAAGTCAATTTCCAACTTACGTCTAAGTCATAGAAAAAAATATAAAAATAGATAAGCTAAGTTAGTTTAAAGTTCCCGTAGTGAAAGTTAGAGTACCGTATTTTTCGCACTATAAGGCGCACCAGATTTAAAGGCGCACCTTCAATGAATGGCCTATTTAAAAAAGTTATATATAAGGCGCACCGCATTATAAGGCGCATATGAGTAGAGGCTCCAGTAGTGGCTGGGCTGCATTCTGCATCCACTAGAATGTCAACAAAACAGTCAGATAAGTCAGTCAGACTTTATTAATAGAGAACAAACCAGCATTCTGACGACTCCGTTCACTCCCAAAATGAATAAACAGCTGCTTTATTATTTTAGCTAATGTCAGTGACGTAGTATTTTCGCCACACAGTTTGTCTTTAAATAATAACAATGTTTAATAGGTTGTGCAACGTTTTTATCACGTAAAAACCAGTCTGATAGCGTTACGGTGAATCAGACTTTAGTGCGAGCACAGTATAGGAACTCTGGAAATACTGCAAAACAATAACAATACAACTATAACTCAACGTTGTTCAAATGTTATTGTCCATTTTCACAGTATGACCAACCGTGTTCAGCTGTAAACACACAAGAGAAACACAAATGAAATGCAAATGCACGCGGTCCTATATCCCAGCATGCACCATGCGCTACTTCTTCTATGGGAGAAAATGGAGTCGGGGGGCTGCTTCCTGGAGTTTTGGCTCAACCTTGATCCATATATAAGGCACACTGTTGGTTTCTGAGAAACTTTAAGACTTTTTAGGACTTTTTAGTTAAATCCTCACAGGGTCTCCAGAGTCTGGAGCCAGGCCAGAGAGCAGCTCTGAGCAGAAACCCCCAAACCTGAGCTCTGCGTCTCCTCCCTGTGTTGGACCAGGTGTGTCTGAGGTACTACGAGCATGAGTTTGTTGAGCTGGCGTGCCAGTGCCCGGCGGTGGTGTGCTGCCGCTGCTCACCCACCCAGAAGGCCCAGATCGTCAGCCTGCTGCAGCAGCACACGGCCAACAGGACTTGTGCCATCGGTGAGAGCCCATAGATACATTATATATGTATTATATGCTGCAAATGTCTGATTTAAGGCATCAATCTGACGCCTTTGAGCCAAATTCTGAGCATAATGTCCTGGAATTTCTATAGAATTTGATTATAAATGGCCAAAAATGCTCAGATGTGGACAGTGATTCTACTTAAGAAAGTTTTTTTTTTAATCTAAATGTTGTTTAAAATGTCTGAAATGATCCAAACACAAACAAACATTGATGTTTATGAGCTTATTTGCGGCTCCTGTGCGCCGGTTAACGCATTTCACTCAGATTTCTAGATAAGTGCAGAATACTTAATGTTTTTGTGTGTTGCTTTATAATAAAAAGTCAGAAAATATGAAACTAATTGGAATAAAAGTAAAAACATAAATAGATTCAGTCAGAGGCAAACAGACTTCAGATAGTAAGTCATTATTCCGTTTTTTCTGCAGTAAAATCTAATTTCTGAGACTTTAATCTGGATTTTTCTCATGAATCGTCATCTTCTCTCTGCTGGACTTTGTTAAACATCAGTCCAGATGTCTGGATGCCTCCGAGCTGCTTCCTGACCCCTGACCCTCTTGGGCCGCCTCTCTTTAATCCCTTAAGTTCCTCCATGTGTCCACCAGGGGGCGACGAGCGGCCGGCGCCCTGAGGTTAATGTGTTTTCTCCAACAGGTGATGGAGGAAACGACGTCAGCATGATCCAGGCGGCAGACTGCGGCATTGGCATCGAAGGAAAGGTAAGAAACGGCGAAAACTGCCTGTTTTCAGGGACTTTAAGGAGACTTTTTATTTTATTTCTAAGCAAAGAGTCTGAGGAATTAGGAGAGAGAAATTTATTAAAAAGGTAAACTTCATGGAATGAGAGCAGACAGTTGTTCATAGGACATATTTAATGAATAAATACAACATAATTTCATATTTAAGGAAGACCATCGTCCATTAATCAAAAATCTATAACTAGAGACAAACATGTAGAGAAAATATGAGAGGACTAATTTTCTTATTGCTTTTAGAACTACAGTAGAACCTCTACATACGATTTTAACTCCTTCCAGGACCAACTTTTTATGTTAAAAAATTCGTATGTATGTTCCATCAGAATACACTGTCATTCCTATAATTCGTTCCACGGCCCAAAAACCTACAATAACTCCTTATTAAATACTGCAGATAATTACACATGGCAATAAAACAAATGCATTATATAAGAGAGATGTAAAATTAAATAAATGATAAAGAAATAACCAATAAAAAGGGGTTTTTATTGGCACATTACCTCAGAGACTGAGTGGAGGTAGAGGTGGAGACTGAGATACAGGATGTACCCTAACTTACTCTAACTTTCACTCCCTGAACTTTAAACTAACTTAGCTTATTTGTTTTAATTAGATTTTTATTTATTTATTTTTTCTCTATGACTTCAATGTCATATGTTGGAAATTTACTTCAGGTGTCGAGCCGAATAACTGATCGAATTTCACTTCAGATGCTGTAAAATTCGTATGTTTAGGCGATGGTAGGTAGAGGTTCTGCTGTATTCTGACTCCCCCCCCCCCGTGTGTTTCTGTGGCCGGGAGCAGGAGGGCAAGCAGGCCTCGCTGGCGGCCGACTTCTCCATCACGCAGTTCAGGCACATCGGCCGGCTGCTGATGGTCCACGGCAGGAACAGCTACAAGCGCTCGGCCGCGCTCGGCCAGTTCGTGATGCACAGAGGCATGATCATCTCCACCATGCAGGTATTATTTCTAATATTTGAATAATGTATTATGATTATTATTTATATTCTAATTATTTAGAATATTTTTTATAGTTATTAATTGTAATAGTTATAAATTATAGTTAATTATAATTAAATAAAAAAGGACCGCACATGAATAATAAATAATAATAACAGAAAACATATTTTATTATTATTTATAACACTAAATAATTATAGTATTTATTTACAATATATATTATAATTATTATTTATAGTAAATAATTATTTAGAATATTTCCATAGTTGTTTATCATCATTGTAAATTATAGTTAATTATAATTAAATAAATAAGAACTGCAATCAATAATGATACACATATTACTTATTATTTATAACACAAATAATTATTTGGATTTATTTATATTTTTAGAGTTATTATTTCTATAATAATTATTTAGAATATTTTACAGTTATCTATGATAATTATAAATTATAGTTCTAGTTATAATTCAATAAGTCATTAATTTAATTAGAAATTAAATTCCACAGTCAGGCCCGGGGGCGGGTTAATGTCTATAAAGCTTTTATGGGACATTTCGATCAGTGGAGCACAGAGCCCTGCAGCACCTGTCAGGTTTCCCTATAAGCTCAAATCTGAGGCCTTTCTTTAATGTTCCAGCTGCTGGAGCAGCTCACTGAGCATGGCAGTGCTTTTCAGTGTCAGCTCAGATGGTTTTTGTGCACTTTTTTAAACTCAGTCAGATCATAAAAACAGGCGCTGAGCGTCTTTTTTAAAAGCCAAATCAGGAAGTCTTTCAAAAACAGCGAACTGCCGGTTGAGTTGTATTTTCCTGACTAGTTTGTGTCTGCTTTGTGTCCGCAGGCTGTTTTCTCCTCCGTATTCTACTTTGCCTCCGTGCCGCTTTACCAGGGTTTCCTGATGGTGGGGTACGTAAGCCGGGGGCCGTCCGGAGCCCGATGAGGCTGCTTCTGCCTCAGAAAGGATCAGTGTGCCTCTTTTCTGTCTTCCTGTGGCTTTTAGAGCCACTTTAAGCCGTTTTAAAGGGTTTGATTTCAGCTTCCAGCAGCCGAAATGATGAACTGACGCTTGTTTTAGTGACAGTTCATCCCTTTTTATCACTTTTGTTTGCCGGTTCTGAGGCTGCTTTTCTTTAAATTCTTTATTTTATGTTTTGTTGGTGCAAAAGACAGTTAAAAATAATGCACAATACAATCAGCATTTACATCAGATTTAAGTCAAATCTTCCCTTGCGTCATTTGTATTGTAGCAATATATTTATATTTATTTACTTTTATATGTCACATAAACCTGGATGAACTGATTTGATCTGTAATGGTACATCCATGATTTAAGATTATATGGATTTATATGGATTATATGGTCCAATCATTAGTAAATAATACAGATAAAGGGCTGTTTTTACTTTATTCTGTTAAAAAATAGGTGTTTCTTTAGTAGTCCCAGCAGAGAAGAGGCAGCAGGTGCATCACACGAGGCTTTTCGTAAAATTTTTCCCAAAAAATGGCTGTTTTGACTTGATTCTTTTAAAAATTGGCTGTTTCTTTGGTAGTCCCAGCAGAGTGGAGGCAGCAGGTGATAATTTCTGTGTCTGCAGGTATGCCACCATCTACACCATGTTCCCCGTCTTCTCTCTGGTTCTGGACCAGGACGTGAAGCCCGAGATGGCGCTGCTCTACCCAGAGCTCTACAAAGACCTCACCAAGGTTCCCGCCGCCGCCACCGCTCTCGTTTCTTTCGGCCGGCATCCTGCTCGCTCACGGACTCCTGCTCTCTGTTTCAGGGCCGCTCTCTGTCCTTCAAGACCTTCCTGGTTTGGGTTTTGATCAGCGTCTATCAAGGTGAGCTGGCATTAGTCTGCTTCCTGAACCCAGACTAACCTGGAGAAACCATGACTCAGCAGAGGAGGTCTACCTCCTGAACCCAGACTAACCTGTAGAAACCATGACTCGGCAGAGGAGCTGGTCTCAGACAGAAGCTGTCACCAGAAGAAGAGCACTTTCAGGAACAACAACCAGCAGATTCAGCTGACTCACTCCTCAAACATGTGACCCAAACCACTCTGACAGGGAGTTACCGACCCATCAGAGCCCCTAACCACCATTAACCCCCCCAGAGCCACCTTTGGTTTCTCCCCTAATTCCTTAGTTCCACTTACAGTATATTAACCTCAGAGCTCCACCATCAGTTAGAGCTGAAGAAGCTTCTTGGATCAGAGGAAAACTTCACCTCCAGTTGCCTGAACTGGACTTTTCCAGCATTCCCAGACGTTTCTCAGCCTCTCTGGTTTCCAGCCGCCGCCGGCCCTTTGTGCCCCCGTAAAGCGATCTTTCTGTAGCCGCCAAGCCGTGCAGCAGAGATCCACCTTCCTGCTGCCCGAGCGTGACTTCCTCCTTAATTAAAGGCCAGGAGCAGCTCTGTGGAACATTAATACGACGCCAGAGCGGCAGTATTTACTACAGGCTGTGAGTTCCTGGAATGCCTCATATGGAGGGCAGCTTTGGGCTCAGGATGCTGCTCCTCTAACCCTCAGACTGAATGAGATCGGCCAGGATAAAATGTCAGGAGTTATTCAAACTGAAGCTGGAACGAGCTATCTGAGAACATGGCATCATGGGAGCCCCCCAGAGGGAGGAGAGGTGCATCATGGGAGCCCCCGAGCAGAACTATGGGGTGTTTCAGGGTCTCTGACTATCTGTAACTATCAGCTTTATCAGAAAGGAAGGTCTGATCTTAAAGTTAGAGAGGGGGTTCTTCTTCCTGAACCCAGGCTGGTTTTGGTTCTCTGTGGAACCAGAACCAAAGAAGGAACAATAAAATTGTTGGTACTACTTTAAATTGATTCAATTGGTAACACGCAATCAAATTAAGTTATTCCAACTTTAAATTAGAAAGAAAACTGAACTTAATCATCTAATTTGTTTCCAAGCAATAGTTTATATTAATTCAACTTAAATTTAAGTTAAATTAAGTTTAAATGTTGAACTTAAATGTGTACGTGATGACGTATGATATCAAGAAACCTAATTGAACCGCTTTTAATGATGTAAGAAAAACACAGTAAGAGGACAACTTGTAATTTCAAGTTAATATAAATCCTGTAAAGCAGAAATTTTA